ATTTCAATAATAAATATCTACTTCTCTTAGATCTAAATAACTTCAAATAAGTGATATTTTGAAAAATTATTATTTGGCAATGAACAGAGATTGGAAGTTTTTACCTTTAAAACGCCGAAAAAGTCACCGGTGTTTTATGCTGTATTTCATTATCATAACTTATTAAAATGCTAATTATAATATTTTTCACTTATTTTGCCCTAAATTAATATAACATAATAACAAATCAAGAAAAATATCTTTAATAAATATTCTGCTTCAAAGGGTAAAATTAAATCGAATTAGATATTATTTTAAATTAGAATTATTATTTAATATAAATTTAATTGCAATTTGAAATTAACCAAATTCAATGTTAAAATATCACTTGTCAATTTATATTTCAAATACTATTATATTAACCATCGATTTGATTATCTATTGTAGATTTATTACCGATAAATAGAATATCGTCTGCATCAGAAATAATAACGACGTACATTTAACTATATTTCAATAAATGTCTGCTATATAAAGTAAATATGTTAAATTATTCAGTATAAGAGTAATTATTTATATGTTAGTTATTTAGTTTAGGTATAGGATGCAGTGCATATTCCATGAATGTATTAATTGAACAATCAGAATATAGAGAACAAGTCATTATATTGATTGCTTTGGTATTATGTTTGGTCAAAAAAGTCAATGCTCACTGTTAGAACAGCATTTAATGTATATAATTGTTGAGTAGTGTAGTAACAGGGGTCTTCCAGACATTTTGTGAAAGGTCCGATTTTCATGAAATTGTGAAAAAAATACTCACATTCTTTCAGCCAGGGTCCGCTTTTATGAATTTGTGCAAATAGGGTCCGGTTATTGCAAAAAACTTTTTCAGGGAGTTTTTAAATTGTAAATAGATACAAGATTATGCTCAGCACTGTAAAATTATAATAAAAAAAATTAATTTTTCAAAAATAAACAGCAATTGCTGCTTCTAAATTAGAGATGCAACATACAAATATTTGGTATTTAGCCTATACTGCTGAACGCAGAATATTCATTTCGGACAAATAATGGAAGAATCGTCTGCCGAAGACAAAACTTAATTCGTTTACATCCATCTTTCTTGTTTTCTGCCCTGGGAAGGGTTTATTCGATTAACAAAACAATAATGAAGATAAACAAATTTGTGAAGGGTCCGTTTTTAAGTTAAAATATTTTGTGAAGGGTGCGTTTTTATGAAAATATATTTTGTGAAGGGTCCGTTAACGGACCCAAATTTCTTCTAAACAAACCCCTGATAATTGTTGAGTAGTGTAGTAATAGAATGTTACATAAGCGAATGATTTGTTGCGTTTAAGCTTGAACTAATGACCTCCTCAAAAAGTTTCAAACATCAACGTTTCATATAACATTTTGTATTTTGATTTAAACTAAGCCTGTTTTTTTTTTACCCTTCATATGCTGCCAAAACTCGGTTAAGCTTCACCTAGATATTCTACGAAATAACAGTATCCATGTCGTTAAAGTTGCACCTCTCATACTATCAGCTAATTTGTTGACTTTTAAATTAAATTAATTTGTTTCTTTAAAAATTGAAAAATCAATAAAGGATGCTGTGAATGACCGAAATACGTGGTTGTTAACTTCCACCGGTGAATGTCGGTAAATGGTCCGAATGCCTAGTGAAGTGCCGGTTTACATTTAACCGGTACTCCGAACACTGATGTTTTTCCTCGGCAGATATTAAAATATCGAATAAATATAATAATATCAACGAATAAAAATAATATCAAATCGGATATTACAAATATTTTGGACATTCACCGAAGCGATCATGTGATTGTTGACATTCACCGGTGAAAGTCGACATTCTCCTGATTTCAGTCACTCATGGTAACAGCTTTATAAATATATTAATTTAATTGTAATAATATTTTAATTATTTGTATTGTATTTTGTATGTAAAGAGATACATTAATATGCTGATTATTCGATAGTAGTCATTTTATTAATTAAACAGCGAAAAATAAATGATAAGTAGGTAGGGAACCGTACAAAAAGTACGTACACAAAAATGGAGAAATTCTACTCCCTCCCCCCCTTTCGTACATTACCGTACATAAGGTTTTACTCCCCCCCCTAGAGTACGTACATTTTATTAGTCTACCCCCCTTTTTCGTAAAAATTAAAATAATTATGTTTTAAATAAAATTAAATATTTATTTAAGGAGTGTATACGAAAAAGTCAAATTTAAATTTGGTGTAGGCTTATAAAGTACGTACTTTGTATAATACCTCCCCCCTCCCCATCGTACAAAACCGTACTAAATAGCAAATCCCCTCCCCCCCTTCGGGATGTACGTACTTTTTGAACGGCCCCTAGGCACTTTATATACGTCGCACTAGAGTTGCACAATGGACTATTGGCGACGGTCTGGGAAACATCCCTGAGGATGATCCGAAGACATACAATCACAATTTTGATCCTCTGCAGAGGGGATGGCTCCCCTGCTTTGGTAGCCCGACGACCTGTGCGTGAAGTCGAGCACTAGAACAGTTACCGCGCACCCTCGGACCCTACGCTGGCCGGTCAAAGTGGCCACCCACCCGCTTACTGACCGCCGCCAGTGATGTTTGACTTCGGTGTTCAACAGGGAACCGAGTCTTCAGTCCACTGCAGGGCTTGAAAAATAAAATAAATCTTAAAAGAATGCCTAGCATTTGATGTGTTGATTATGTAGGTAGTTTAGAGATTATCTAGGTAGTTTAGAGATAATCAAGGTAATTCGAGAAATGGAACAATTTTTTTATCACTTAGAAAGATTTCCTAGTTAATCTGCACATTAACTTCATAATCGGTAATAAATAGTATAATAACTTCATAATCGGTAACACTAAGTTTAGTCATTGTTGGGGAATAAATAATCAATTTGATAACACAATCTCAAAATCAATTTAGATCATCATTTAGACGATTTATGCAGGTATTTTATTCTAAATAATTATTTTAAGGGAAAAACAAGAAACCATGTTTATTAATTTTTATTCGTAGAGAAGAATTTTTGAAAATTATTGTTGTTACCCACTATATGGATAAAGCTTTTACAAGGGAATTCGGGAGTAAAAATTAGTTTGACTATATAATTTCAAATAAAAATCAACATAGTACATCGCAATTTGGGAAATTTTACAGAGTTTATGATGTCTTATAAAATACATGCAATAAAATGCCACGGGGTGACAGCTAAAGAATATTTTGCTTTTAAGGAAAATAATCAAGTTTTTTACTATATATGAATATCTAATGATGCTGTCGCAGTTTTCTATTGCTGTCCTAATTTTTTATTGGTCAGAAAATCACGGGGTAGGATCCAGTTTTTCCTCATTGATTTCCATATTGTTTTAGTTGTCATCAGCATAAAAATAATAAAAGTCGTGCAGATTTTGTTTTTTTTTATGAATATTTTTGTGTCCCTAACTTAAAGTTATTTTCCTGTACTGCTCTATTTAGGCTTTTAATTCAAAAGCTTAAAACTAAGATAATTGTTTTTGCTTTTTTTTTTTTAATATTTTGTATTATAAAGTAATTATGCGCTACATTTCAAGATAAAGTTATTTAGAAAGGTAGTCTAATCTTATTAACCGTTTTACAATTATTTTAGTGCAAATGATATTAATAAATTTGTTATAAATTATTGTTATAAATTACAGTTGAAGAAATCTATTAAATGATTTAGAACTTAACGATCCTGCATAATGAGATACAACAAAAATAGTATTTAATATATCCGCCCGTTTGGTCATCGAAATTATTAACTTACGTTACTCATCAAGTTTGTTTGAACTATATAACGTTACAACAATATAAATGTTATTTAAAAAAATGATTACTTAGAAAAAAATAATTCTGTTAACCAATATTTATAATACTAATAGATAATATTTGGATTTGGAAAGTGAAGGCACAAACGTAAGCAAACAAAATTCCTTCTAGTACATATATGTTAAGTGAATAATTTTAACTCTAGTAGAAAAACTTTTTCTTCCAAGAAACAACAATTATTGCGAAGCCATCTTCGGGGTTGGTGAACAGCAGCGAACAGGGTTTTAACCCACTAGTAAAAGCATATTTTTGCATTCTAAAGGTATATATTTGAATTAATTTTGTTAATAACAAATCAATATTTTTTGGTTTGAACAAGTTGGAAATAAAAAGTTATCTACCCTCACCTTTATAGATTTTTTTTGGACATGAATACATACGTAATTTCTAAGTCATCGCAATGAAGCTAACGAAGTTAATTAAATACTAAATGAAATGTATAGATGTTGATTTAATTATTAAGGGTGGAAAATATAACAGTACTTGTTTTCACACTAACCTAAAAAAAAAAATAGTTTTTTTTTAGTTTAGTTTGGGGAATCAGTTTAAAGAATGTAAATAGTAATACACAAAACATATTCTTTCTTCATAACCAAAGTAATTAAAACATTGCATTTTCATACAACTACCACTTTTTAAAATTAACATAAAATGTATTCTTTACAAATTTATAATTTTTATTCGCATGTTTTATACAGGGTTCGTAAAGTTCTTATAAAACTTATTAAAAGTCAGAAAATAATAAGAGATATTTTTGCATTGTAAGTTTATTTTCACCACAACACTTTTATTTAAATAAATCACCGCTTTTGAAAATTTAATATTAAAGTGAAGGCTAATAAAAAAAATGTCTGACTTCTGCATTATATTCTCAGGATCCACTTTTTAAATTGTTTAAGGAATGTACAAAACTTCAGTTCTATACAAAGAGGCGCATAAATTTTCTGATAAAGATAGAAAGTTGGTAATAATTCCTATCTTGTTCACGAAAGGATTATGATATCAGTAATATTCAACAGTTAGAACTTATATAAACAGAACTAATATAATCTAAAAAACAAAATTATCAAATTACCAGTTTTTTTTTAAATTTTTCAACTGTATAAAAGTAAAATGAAATGAAATAATGACTTACCTTGAAAGAAACATCATATGGCTCTAGACTCAACGAAGGCTTCAACACAAGACCATTCTTCTCCGGAACTTTGACAGAGTTTGCCGGAGTCTGCTGTTTACCGGACTTGGAAGCCACTTGTTGCTTGGGAGGACTCTCCTGATCCGAATCATCATCCGAAGAGTCGCTGTAATCCCGGGATAAACGCCGGTGTATTATCCTCTGTTGTCCGTCAGCCATTTATCCTAAAATATCTCTCACCCCTCACTTCTGGAAGCTCAAGAGAAGAGAAAAAAAAGTCCCGGATAAGCTGCGACAGATGTGCACACAGCGGACGGTCCGGTTTTCGCATGTACTCTCCTCACACACGTGTGAAGTTTTACGTTTACGTTCGTTTCTCTGCCCAAGTACCCAACTGTTGCGTTAGTTTCCCCTCAGTTGTGAGACGAAATTTCTTTGGTGGCGCCATCTATCGATCGATTGAAGAGCAAACCAACTGTTGCGTTGGAGGAGGAACAGCTGTTACTCCTCCCGTGACATTTGTTTAAAAAGGATTAACTTTTCGACATAGTTGCACGAGGCAGAGTTGAAAGTGATTAAATAGAAGAGTTTTTATAGCTTTTCATTTTTAACTGACGATATAATAAATTTTTTTTTTTTTCTGAGTCTACCTGATAGAAAATTGTAATAATGTTCTTAGCTGTTTTGAATTACTGCTATAGTTATTTCAAATTATAATTAATGTCAACCAAGACTCCTATAAAAAACTAAGGTAGAATATTTTTTCGCATCAACTGATGAATCATTTGATGCGAAAAAAGGCACCATAGAAAAGGCAGCATATTTTTTCCGCATCAGTTGATGAATCATTGTGACATTAAAAAAACTGATTTTGAATTGAATTATTATTTTTTTTTGAAAAACTTCAAATCACTTGAAATTTATTTTTATTGTATAGTAAAGATTCTTTTATCGACAAAATTGTTTCATTCTAGCGAATAAACTCATTCATTTACTAAAACAAACTTAAGTTTTCACAAGCTCGAATAACTTTGGACGTTCTTAATGGAATGATTTATATTTTTTAACAAATAATTAATTAAAATTCCGCGTAATATGTTTGCAACTAAAATTAAAAGAAATATCAAAATATTTAAGTATATTGGTAACTTAAGCTATAATTAAAAAGTTAGAATGTCACATTTAAAAATTAGAAGATGTTTCAAAAATGTTACATAAAATGGAAATTTTTTTCCTTAACTTCAATTTATTTGAAATAAGCCATTTAATGTTTTGATTTGATAGTAAATAAACCAATTTAAAAAATGTGCCTCTCGCATGTAGTAGAAATACTAAATCACACCACTAAAGAAGAAATTTTTTTTTTCTCCTTTGTACCATATTAGTTTTTATCATAGATTTTAAAAATTTTTTAAAAAAAACTCCATTTGTGATTTATTTTATGTAAAGTAATACATTTAGAGCTGCCTAATTTTTATGATTTAAGGGAAAATTTCTTTTAATGGTAGCTATATTTATTTCTTCATGAATGATTCTTGCATAAGTTGTTAATTGTCTATAAAATATTTGCAAAAAGCACAGCAATCCACAGCCTCTGTATATTGCTATAAAAATAAGTAAAAATAAATAGCTAAATTTATGTTTGAATATATAATTCTAGTATAAGTTGTTAATTGTCTACCATTCTATAAAATATTTGTAAAAATCATAGCATAGGTTCTCAGCCACAGTATATTGCTTCAAAAATAAGTATTGCATCTGCTGACACTTCAATTTCAAAATCTGTCTAACAAATCACAAACTGAAGCTTCATTAATTTTTGCTTTAAATATTTCGGGGCCTACTGATGTAAATAACCACTATATACTGAATGATACTGTAATAAACCACTATATACTGAAATGAAAATGACGTAATAATAAACATTATTCCATTACAATAAATAAAGTGTGATGAGAATCAAATTACGTAAATTAAGATAATATTTTTTTTTAGTTACCACTTTAATTTTAAAACAATGCAATGATCGGTTGATTAATTTTTGGTGTACATATTCTAGTGCAAATATGCATTTTTTTCTCACTTAATTCATACAAAAAGTAAAATATGCTATATCGTTCATACGTCTCATACAGTTTCATATTTTCTAAAACAGTTTTTGATTGTATCTGCAAGACAGTAAAAAATATTCTTAATTCTGAATAAAGTCTTCGGTCATTACAATTTTCGTGTTTTATTTATTTTCACAAAGCTTACCACTTTCAAACTACAATTCTATGAGACGGATTATTAACGATGTTTTTAACAATTTTAATAAGCTTTTTAGTATTCATTACAAGAAACACTGTCAATCATCGACTTTATGTATTCATATTCAATTTTAAGTTTATTCTTTGTATACGCGAGACTTTACATTGTTTTAAGAAATTGATACAAAAAGATCATAAACTCGTTTTTGATGAAATAATAATTAACTAGGAGGCTTCGCCCCCTGCTTGCTGGCGCTCGCGACCCCCCGAAACTGCTTTCGCAGTTCATTTCGGATTGCTTCGCAATCCGATGCTCGCCTTGCTCGCTCTTTGGATACGTTCTTAACGTCTAGCTTTTGTATACTTTATTGAACACTTTTGTATACTTTTTGTATGCTTTTTTTTTGTTCCGAAAACTTTTCACTGTAGAAAATTCTGAACCTGTGCATTTCAATACTAATTTGAAATTGCAAACAGTTCACATATTTTTCTTAATCACACTATTCTAAATTTCAGTTGTTGAGAAAAGTAACTGTTGTAAGTTTTGTTTTAAAGTCTTTCCCACCAGAGGGCTAAAACCATGTGTTGTAAAACAATATGAAATAGTACTGAACGCCGGATGTAAAGCATCGGCTTCGATGAAGATAATTTTGTGAGAATTTTTTTGATAATTCGGTGAGAATTCACCCGATTAGCCATATGATGCTCACTACGTGCTCTTGCGCGCCGAAGCCTATCAATTAAAAATGAAAACTGTTGCCAACGTGAGAAAAGAAATATCATCAGTTTTCTTGATACATACGTACGTATTAGCGTTTTATATAATATAGATGACGAAATTCCCAAAGAATTGATTGATAGATACTCTGAAAAATTTTAAATTTGAGAAATTTCTGGAACTTCAAGAAATTTTGAAGTAAACGCACTTTGTTACAAAATTTTTTATAACCTGACGTGAATGGCAACACTTCAGGTAGCACTTCAAGCCTAACGAGACTGACGAAACCTTTAAGCATTTCCAATCGTAGTATCGATTTTATTTTATAACCGTCGTTGAACAGCCGACCTAATGTTTTGGGTTTACGACTATTAATGTTCAACTCCATAGCCTCGTAATTTTTAATCCAATCCAGAAGACGAGGGAACTCCACTATCAAGTATTGGGAAAAATTTGCTTTGGTGGAGGACTTTTTGATGGAACTAACCCGCATTTGCGTTACCGGGAGAAGAAAATCACGAAAACCTCCAACGAATAGCAAGTCACTCTAACACATGATCCGTCTACCACTGAGGATATTTTACGTCAGCACTGAGGTTGGTGCAAGCCGGATGCAGAATTCGTATCGATCAGCCATCACTGGGATTCGAACATGGTTCACCTCATTGGAAGGCGATTGCTCTATCCTCTGAGTCATCACGACTCTGTAGTATTGACTGTAAATTTTTAACATATATGAAATTATCGTAAGTATAATTTAAAGTAGAATGACTTTTGCTGTATTTGTGTATAGTGTCAAGTTTGCCACCCCCTCTAGAGAGCCCGAACAACGATTACAACACGATGCTCTCCTGATCTTATTTTTATGAATTACATTCTTATTTTTATTTCTTTGATTATTGTTGAAAATTTAACTATGAATGTTAAGATCTGGCAACATGTAATCGTCATCTTTCTTTCTTTTGCTACTTTTTAATTGACTCGAGTTTATAAGATAAAGATTCCGTGAGGGAAAAATAAATTTTGCACAACAATAGATAGTAAATATATATAAAGCAAATGGCTGAAGAAAAAAAAAAGCTTTTAAATTTGCAATAACTTTCGAAGAAATAAGAATTTCGAAAAAAATAAAAATGGTCCAATCAATACGTCAAATTTCAACTCTGTTGTTGCATTTCCGTGGAAGGGATTGAACTACACATTTTTTTACTACAATACGTTTAACGTATAATAATTCGCAAATTAATTGCTGAATCTGAAATTCTACGCACCTTTATAATTACAAGTCTCGTCTCAAAGCAGCAAAGCAAACTGTAACGCAAGACAAAAAAAAGTAAGAAAAAACCGTAAAAAAAGGGACTTGTAAGTGTAATAACATTTGAACAATTTGAAATTTCGGAAAAAAAAAACTCTGTGTTAAGTTCATGAACAAATGTGGACCTGTCAACATGCCACATTTCCACCCTGTACTTACACTCCTGTAGAGCGTATGGTATTTTTTTTCAACAAGTTTAACTGTTAATAAGTTATTTTTTTAATAAGTTAAATAATAAGTTTAACAGTTAGACTTCGAAGTTGGGCTGCTCCAAAGAGAAGGGCACATGGACCAGAGGTCTACTGTACCCAAACTCTACATTGTGATTAGCGAAAAAGCTTTATACCTGAAATGAAGTTCAGTTAGCACCTGGCAGAAATATCTTGCAGTTCCCAGGCCTTAATGCAATATTGCCCTAATTTCTTTGAGCAGAATCGACCTCACAGTCACAACGTATATGTCGTGAAGTCTTCTCCTCAAGATGACAACCTCGACAAAGAAAATCAGATTCAATACCCGTAATGTATAGGTGTCTTCTGTTCTGAGGATGCAGTGTCCAGTGAGAAGACCAATGATCATCCTCAAACTGTTCCTCTTAAGCTTAAGAAGCTCTTTTTGACACATGCTAGGGCAGTCACGAAAAAAAAAACTCTGTGTTAAGTTCATGAACAAACCTTTCTGCATGCCACATTACGGCCCTGTAGTAACATTCATGTAGAGCGACTCGTATGGTATTTTTTCCATTTAGTTTAACAGTTAATAAGTTTAATAAATTAATAAGTTTATGTTTAACAATTAATAAGTTAAACAGTTAATAAGTCAAACAAGTAGATTTTTTAATAAGAATAACAAGTTTAACAGTTAATAAGTTTAACCGTTAATAAGTTAGTATGTTTATCAGTTATTAAGTTAATAAGTTTAATAGTTAATAAGTTAATTTTTTTAATCAGTTGAATAATAAGTTTAACAGTTAATAAGTTAATTTTTTAATCAGTTGAATAATAAGTTTAACAGTTAATAAATTTATAAGTTTAACAAGTTATAAATTAGTAATTTTAACAGTTAATAAGTTAATTTTTTTAATCAGTTGAATAATAAGTTTAACAGTTAATAAATTTATAAGTTTGACAAGTTATAAATTAGTAAGTTTAACAGTTAATAAGTTTAACAGTTAATAAGTTTAACAGTTAATAAGTTTAACAGTTAATACGTTTAACAGTTAATAATTTTAATAGTTGAAAAGCTAATAAGCTTAACAGTTAATAAGTTTAACAGTTAATAATTTTGAGAGTTGAAAAGCTAATAAGCTTAACAGTTAATAAATTAATAAGTTTAACAATTAATTA